TCTTTTCACCCGGTTTTCCATGGTCATCTCTTACTTCCTCATTTTCATTTGCTTCCATTTTTTATTTTTTTTTATTTTTTGTTCTGTTTCATATATTTTCTTTTTTTTTAGAGAACACTAATATTTTGAAAAACATTTATTTCATTGTTCGTGTAATAAATATATATGCAATTTGATATTATATTGAAAATACAATAAATGAAAATAAATTACATAAATTTAATTTAATAATATTTAATAATAATAATATTTTAATATTAATAAAAAAAATAATAAAAAAAAATAAAAAAAAATATTGTTTATTTTTTAAATTCTCTTTTTCATTATTTTATTCATTTCTTATTTTTTATAATGTATTATAATATATTAGATATTTCTAAGAATCACCATGAAGTCAAATAGTATGTTAAGTAGTTATATATTTGATATTAATAATTTCATTAAATTATTATAAATTTTTAATTTGTTAATTATTTACTTTACAAAATAGAAAATGAATTGTATTTAGAATTGCCATTAAATTATTAATCTATATAAAATAAAATAGATTTTACTTCTCTAAGTAACAACTTTTAATTTTTAGATATTAAATAAATCTATAACAATTAAATACATTGATTAATTATGCTTTATGTTATATTTATTAAATTTCATTTTAATCTATTCGTATATATGTTTTATATTTGTCGATTTATTTATTTTTTATTTATTTAATTTTGTTTTATATTGTGCATATCAATAATTTATAATTATAACATCAATCAAAGAAAAATATCAAGAAGTTAGAATTTAATCAAATATTAAAATAAAATATTAAATAGATATTAAATTTTGAAAAAATGGTTAAGAATGAAACGCGAAATGAAATAAACGAAGAAAAGTTTTGAGAATATAAATTCCAAAAAGTGAAAGAAAATCTTGAAAGAACCAAAAATCAGGTATCGTCTTTCTTTGAAGGAAAAATTCTGCGCGGTACGATTTAGTGAATTTTCCACAAGAGGGGTGTGTACTTATCTCCATGGAAGTGGTACCGCCCCTAAAATAGACGGACCAATCCCGTGATATAAACCAACCCCCGTTCCGCACGTAACTCGGAGCTTGATCGAGGGTGAACTCTCGAAAGGAGACTTCAGTTTCCTCGGTGTCGTCTATCGAGAACGATAAAGCGACTCTCTTGCAGTGAAATTCCAAATTAAAAAAAAAAAAAAAAAAAAATAGCAGAACTACATCCTTATTAGTTTTGTCGAGCAACTGATTACAACAGGATGGCAGGTCCGTATTTATCACCATTGGGTCCCCAGGCTGACTTACTTACCGAATATATGTTTGGAAGACGTCGTCAGGTCAGTGTACGTTTCTTTTTTGATTCTGTTTACTTTTTTTCTTATATTTTCACATATTTACGCTTATATTATTGAAAATAATCAAGATATATTTAATATTCTCTTGTTTTTCCTCTCAAAATTCTTTTTTTTCTTGTACATTTCTTTGTAATCTTGTTAATAACTTTTTATATAATATATTTCTGTTTATAAACAAATATTCTATTTTATTATATATTTAATTAAATTAATCATTAATTTTCTTTACGATTCATTTTCTTTACGTATTTGGTTCGTTTGTTTTGGCGGCAATTTATATATTCTACACTCCAGTATTATATAATATAAAATTTGTAATTTTCTGTAAGATTTTTTTAAGCTTTACATACGAAAAAATATTATTTATTATTTTCAGAAACAATTAATCAATAATTAATAATTACTATTAAAGAATTTAAAAGAAATAGACAAAAATATTTTTATTTATTCGCAATAAAATAATATATAAAATTATTTCATAAATAATTTATTAGAAAAAAAATATTATATTATAAAATAAATATAATATATATATATATATAAATAAAAAGCAAAAAAAAATTATTTTTTTAATAATTATTCAAAGATATTTATAAATGATATAAATATTTTACAAAATATATTTTTTTTATTTATTCTTTTATTTTTCTCGATATATTATGAATTATGAAAATAACTCAAATTAAAATTTAATGTAATGCGTAACTATCGTGAAATTATACAAATATATATTTATAAAACAAATTTTGCATATATAAGTTATAAGAAAAACTTCTTAAAAAAATCTTAGAATTAATAAAAATATCGTCATTTATTTCTTCTAATTTTATTTTTTTTATTAATTTAAATAATGCATATTAATTGTATTTCTAAAATTATTTAATAAGATGTATTTCTTTGATATGAATAAAATTCTGTCAATTTTTATTAATTCATTACATTTATTATTAATTCATTATTTAACTTATTAATATATCTCTTATTTTAATTAATATACTTTTTATCATATTATTTTAATTATTTGTTTTTTACATATTTTTCATGTATTTCTTTCTTTGCTTATTGAATTTTTAAAATATCCATCATTTTCATTAATCACTAAGCATATATTCACAAATTAGAAAGTTAGTTTATAAAATATTATTTTAATCAATATGTAATATATGATAATATATGATAATATAAAATATGATTTAGCATTATTGTAAATATTGAACAATCTTAGATATTGCTTAATTTGTAATTTCAAATACAAACGTATATTCTATAAAGATTTAGAAATGCACATAGAATTTTCTTATATTTATATATTTCTTATATATTTCTTATATCTTATTTATATTATATTATATTTTTATATATATTTATATTATATTTTATATTTCATGTTATATTTCAAATTCTATAAAATGAATTTTTATATAAATAGTTACTGATTGTAGCACTATTTTTCTAATATTTT